ACCGAGCAGGCGGGTGCCGCCGTGCCCGTTCCCACCGCTCCTGCCAGGCCACGCCGGAGTCGCACACTGCGTGCTGTTATACCCCGAACAAAGGAGACACCGAAAACGGTCCATGGGAGAGAGGAGGTTACGTGAGGACAGAGCAGCGAGAAACACCGGAAAATCGAGTTAGCCAGCCGTTCTGTGACCTGCTTTCCTTTTGGCGATAGCTGTGGCTTTGCGGGGGTGAATGGTTTCTAATTTTAGCTTATGGTTCATCAGGGAAGTCTATATATTTTTCTCAGCGCTGCGCTGGGTATGGATGAGGGGTTGGGATGCAGGTTGGCGCTGACCTGTATCCGATGTTCTCAAAATCCAGGTTCGCTGATGCTAAATGCCCATCACGCTGCTTTTCCCTCTTGTGACCTACTTAACGCCTATGATTTGAAAAGTTCCTTGGTGTTGGAGACGATAATTGTGGGAAACGTGACCTGTAATCGTTCTCGCTACACTCTGCTGGACAAGTAATTGATTTCCAGAAAAAAAAAAAAAGTTGACTGTACAGGTTGTGCTGGGAAGGACAGAGAGAAGCTGCTCTGGACTGGTGAAATGCTGTGCTGGGAGGCGGTGGTTGCGTTGGGGAAGGTTTTCAGAGATTTGGTTCGTAGAGGGGCAGTTGATGTTCTTATTTGTGGTCACTGAGATCCAGGTGCCTCCTGCCCTGGGAACGTGCTGACTGGAGCCACTTTATCTTGTCTCCAAAGATGAGCTGTGAAGTTGCACCCGGAAAAGTACCTTTTGGGAAATGTTTGCAGGGTAACACAGAAAACCACACGTGTGTGTCTCCGAGCCAAGATTTCAGCTGTGGGTGCAAACCGTACTATTTCTGAAAGGATGTATGAGAATGGAAGTTAACATTTTTGTTACTATCCGTAGACTAAACTGAGAGTAAACAGTGGGTAGCATTTTCAGAAACATCTGAGTCCTATTTTCAGAAGTGCCTTCAGTCCTTGCAGAGACAGAACGATGTTTGAAAACAGCGATGGGTGCTAAAATCGCCCAGATCGTTCCGAAGGTGCAGCGGGAGATCAGGGGAGCGTTTCGGCTGCGGGGCGCAGGGATGCGGGATGGGGCATGTTTGCCAGTCCCCGTCACCCCTTCTCTGGGAGCTGGGTGCTGGCAGGGTGGTGCAGAGCTCCCTGGGGAAATGGGGTTGTGATGGGTGTCCTGGTTGGGGCTGGAGGCTGACAGCGATGGGGACGTTGGGGATCTCCGAAATGAAACTGAGTGTGTGACCTTCAGTGTCTCCCCTGGGGGGGTGAAGCTGATCCCCGCCGAGTCTGATGCTCTAGGGTGGTACTGTGTGGCACAGCCTCCTTGCTGGCTTTCATTTGCCCCCCTGGAATTTATTATGGAGAGAATTTAGCTGCCTTCACCTCAGATCCCCATAACCAGGGAAAATCCTCTGCATGTGTTTTCAGCTGTGGCCGTTCGCAGGATTCCTTGCATCCGCCTTCCCCTGAAGCTGATTGAGCATACCTGGGCGTGCAGAGAGTTTTGCGCTTTAAGTGGAAATTTCCAGGTCCCTTGCTAAGCACAGGGAGGAGGGCAGCGTTGCTGTTGCTCCAAATTGCTCTCCGTGCCATTCCTGGGATGTTGGGCTGGCTTGAGCGCTCCTTGTCAGTGTGTCCCAGAGGATGCTGCACTGCAGCAGCCCTCACCGTGTCAGCAGCCCACCAGTGCCTGGCTTTGCTGGGTGAGTTCTCCTCCAAGACCCCAGCGTGCCCAAAGTCCCCGTTGGCTACCATGCACGCAGACGTGCTCGTGCCTTCTCTCCCACCGTCGTGACGACGTGGAGCCTACATGTACCCATCGCCAGCTCTCTGTGAGCTGGATCCGGGTGGTTGAGGAGCAACCTGCAGACCTGCCACA